CTTGCTGGAAGTTTTGACAGCACGTAATTTCAGTTGTTTAAGGTTGATTTATGGGCCTTTTTATACCAAAATAAAAAGGAAATTTATTTTTGAGCTTTAGAAGGTATTTTTGGGCATAAAGGATGTGGGACATATTTGGAATTTTAAGGTTTTAATTGAGGAAGATGGTTGTAGTTATCTAAGGGTCAGTTTGGTATTGCTGTGACATTTCAAACAAGGCTGCTTCTTCTCTATTGTGAGAATAATGAGTTGTGAAGTAAAATAGTTTAGCGTTTGCTGATACAGGCTGCTAGGTTGAGTTAGGTGCTGCTTTCCTCTTGCAACTCTTTATTTGTAAGAAGTTTTTGTGCTTTTGGAGGTGGGGTGAAGACGAGATTCAAGGACATGAAGCGTTATAGTGGACTGTTTATGGGATACGGCTAGATTTTGGGCTTTGTTTTAGATTTTGGTTTCGAGCACTTTTCGTGACTGTCCTTTCTTTTAAACATGGATTGCCAAGCTGCTGTTCCTTTCTGTGAGCATTCTGGTTGGCTGTTTTCTCTGTTTTATGTTAGGTTAGGATGGGTGTTGTTTTATTTGTTTATTGCCTTTAGTGTTCTTGGTGTTCTGTTTTAATATAGTTTGAGGGTTCTATCCATTGTGGACTGCTGGTCTCTACCACCAACATTCTGGTGTTTATTTGTTAAGGCAGATGAATGGCATTTCAAGAGGTTGTACCCTATGTATCCTAAGATGGTTCTAAGAAAAAAAAACCCTTGTGTCTCCTGCCTAATGTCTAATGATTACGTTGTGTAAATGAGCTTGGTTTTTTCTTTAATTCATATTATGCAGATTCGCATCCTTTTAAAGTAAAGTATCAGTAGATTCAGTAGAATTTTCTTATTAGCTTGAATATTACAATGTTGGGCTTGTCTTACCACCAGGTCCTCGAAACAGCCCGACAAGTTGCAAGCTTCCCAGTTTCCACAACACCCATACCTTATGACCAAATGAAGAGCCAGTGTGAAGCCCTTGTAACGGGTAAACAGCAAAAGATGGCAGTTCTTCATAGTTTCAAGCATCAAGTGGATGCCAAGGCGATAGTCCTCTCCAGTGAATTTGATAACACATGTCCCACTTTACCAACCACGGTTAGTAAATTTATAATTTTGGAATCTATGTTTGTGGACTTCTTAACCTGCTAATTTATATCAGGTTTAAGCCCCTTTATTCACCTTTCCTTTAGAAGACTAAATATAAAATAAAATAATTTGCTATTCCTCGTAAGGCTTAAGAGAGAGTTCATTATTGTACTGATGATTGTGGTGATGATGATGGTGGTGGTGATGTCGAGGTTATGATCTCCGCATCAGAGATTTTGATGTGTAAAAATAGTAGCTCTCAATATCAAAATGACTCTTCCCCTATCCAAACGTAGTTGTACCATTCATCCTAATGCGTTTGTAACTTGAGCTGTGAGTTGTGTTATGGAAAAATTTATTTCACGAGATCACAAGGCATGGAGTATATACCACTTAGTTGAATTGTAACTTGTACCCTTATTGGAATAGTAATATTTGGCTTAAATTGGAGAGCTTGATAGATATGGTGGTTTATAAATGATAGAGAATGCAAATATGTAACAGAATGAAGGCTGGGTGATTTTGTTATCAATATACATGGTGAAGAACATAATATTGATTTTCTTTTTGGGGTCTGGTTTTGTTTTGTGTGTGCCTCCACGTGTACTCGGTTTCAAATGTCTGTGTTTCTTTCAGGCAATGGAACTTTCAGAAGGGGATCTAAAGTTGAAAAACAAGGAGCAAGTTCGAGTACAGAATCAACTCATCCTCTGCTCACGTGAGATTGGGCAGCATTCTTTCAAATTACCACCTTCAAGCCCTTACGACAAATTCTTGAAAGCCGCTGGATGCTAAATGGCACTAGATGTATCTTATGTTTGTATGTAACTTTAGTTCATTTTCCTTTATTCTCTATCTATTCCTCGTAAAAAGTTGGCTATTTTTTCATTCTTTAGCATTATTTAAATCAATTTTAAGCTTGTTTAGCTCCCTACATTTCACGCGCAAATGTAAGAAATGAGCCACGGGAGGTGTTGGTGGAAAAGGCGTCGTCTTTCCACACGAGAGTATTATGTTGAGTATTTTAGACTGTATTTGTTAATAATATATATGTAGATCTTCGTCCAGTTTGATATATGTAGAACTGGAAATTCATCTTTGTAAATTGTTTGTCTAACATTGTTCGAAAATTTATCCTAGTATATACAGTTTTGTATTTTGCTTCCTTTATGGTATGCGTCTTTTTTTCTTTTAATTCCAGTACTATGTTTTCTTCGGAAGTGCACGATTAGAGTTGGTTCAATTTAGTGGAAGTGCTGATATAAGAAAATGCAGAATGAGAAAAATGGTTGGTCAATTGAAAGAGTCAGAGGAAATTTGATTTCCATTCTCTTAATCAAGTTTAATTAAAGATAAACAGTAGCATGCACATCATCAACTTGAAAAGATTGAAACGAATTAAAAGTAATTTCATAAACAAAGAATCCGAATCCGAATCCGGCCCAGTATGTACACAAAACTCGGAACCATAGAAACGGTAACTCTCTACAGAAAACAAAAAAAATTTGAATTCATGCCAAATCCGGCGACCCCATTAGGAAATGGATATGCTCGGATCTGCAGAGACGAATGGGTGGGTCAAAAGCTGAGCGGCGGTCCACCGCTTTTCGGACTCCTTCTGCAAGCAGCACTCCATGAAACTCCGAAACTCCTCCGACACCCCCTTGGGCAAGCTCGGCGGCTCTCCGAAACATATGGCGCACATGAGCGTGGCCCAGTCGGGTTTCTGACCCGGAGGTAACAACGGGAAGTGACCCATGTAAAGCTCCATCAGGGTCAGCCCTAGGCTCCATATGTCACCGGCGTAGCCGTTGTAATTTCCGCCGTAAGTATCCGGGTCGAATCTTTCCGGGCTCATGTAAGCACAAGTACCCACGTAGGAATTGTAGGCGTCCGAGGTCAGGCACAGGATCTTGCTCACGCCAAAGTCGGCAATTTTCACTTCCATTTTTCTGTTCACCAAAACATTGGCAGGTTTGATGTCGCGGTGGATGATCTTGTTGGTGTGGAGGTAGTTGAGGCCGTTAAGAACTTGGCGGGCGACGCGGGCAAGATTGGGCTCCGAGAAGGTGCCTTGGGTTTTAAGCAAGGTCTCGAGGGTGCCGGAGTCCATGTACTCCATGAGGATCCCGATATCTCCCGACGGCTTCTCAAAGATAGCGTGGCAGCGGACGACGTGGGGAGAGTCGGTGCGGCGGAGGATCTCCATCTCGCGGAAGAGCTGACGGCGGACTGTGGGGTCGTTGGAGTGGCCATGAACGAGTTTGAGAGCGTAGGTGTCGGAAGTCCGCTTGTGATTTACCTTGTAGACGGTGCCGCTATTACCGTGGCCGAGGACTTGGAGTTTCTCGAGATCGGCGGCGGAGAGAGAGCCGAAGGAAGAGTTGTTTGTGACGGCGGCCGTAACAGTGGCGGTGGGAGGGAGGGGAACGGAGAAACATGGGCGGCACTCGGAGGATTCGGGCAAGGGGAGCCGGAGATTAAGCTGGCGTCGTTGTCGAATGAGAGCCATTTGTTTCTATTTTGATTGGGAATGTATTGGTGGTGTGGGTGTGGAGTGGAGTACATTTATAGGGTTTCCTTTTTCCAAAGTGAAGTAGGAGTGAGAAAAGAACTTGCGGGCCAAGCAGCCAAATGGAGCTCAACTTTTTCGGTTTAGGATCATTTTGTTTTATTAACTGATTTAAACATAATTACCTACATTTGGATTTCAAAGCATTTATTATAGCTATGATGATATAATAGCTATGATGATATATTCATAACCTTGTTAAATCCATATCCATCAACGCTTAATAGTCATTTGCTTTGGTGCGTATAACTTGTATCTTTTGCAATAAAATTGACCACCTTTGGGAGTAATCTGCCTTTTATAATTAAATATTTTATCATTTTAAAACACTCGCCCAAAAAAAAAAAAAAAAAAAAAAAAAAACCCAGTTCAGGATAAAGATTTCAACCTAAAACTCAATTTATCTAGTGTTGCTATTTTCATCTCTATCCTATTTCCCCATCCACTATTTAAATTTGTAAAAACATAATCTTAAAAAAAAAAAAAAA